CCAACCTGCTCATGAAGATCAGACACCAGAATTAAGATGTCATTCTTTTGAAGGGTCAAGAGGAGTTCACAAAGGAAATATAAAACCTGGTAAAAACATTCACAAGCAAAAAATAAATATACAAGAAAGAGAAAAATCCTGGGCCTTGGTCAAAAAGCAATTTTTTCCCTCTTAACAAATAAAGCTAAGAGTTATAGAAATGTATAGCTAAAGTAAATGGAAACAGAAATCCATACCCAAAAAAGTAGAGGAAGTCCCTAAGCAGAGAATGACCACAACTGGCTAATCTACCAGATAAAGAGTGGTCAGAAAAGCCAAGCTCTAAGAACTTTCCAAATGAAAGACCACGGGTGGCAGTTGAAATTAGCACCCTCTTAGTAGATTTTGATATTCCATTCCCAGTTTTACACTTACCACAGCGACTCCACATCCAAAGTTTCCCATCAGCCTCTCCAGGAAGCTGCTTTTCATTAGGAAGCCATTTAACTTGTATTGTCAGCTGCTTATTATGATGTGCATAATAGAAAAAATGTGCATCAGGCAATTCACCACACGTGCCACACTGCCTTTTCTGCAGAAATTATCAGTTGACTATCAGTACAAAATTCAATTTTAACTGAAATTGAGAAACAGCTACGGAACCAAACACATCATCCCACATGAAACCATAAATACTAAGAGACTGATATTAGAAAGAGTAAGGGATGTTACAAAAAGAGATTGGAAAAAGTGAAATTCAGTAACATGACAAGATAAAATACTGCATGCCAAACGGTTTAGGGCATTAATATAGTAATCAAACTTGAGCCATTCAAAATCATGCATCGAAAAAGATATTAAAAAAACTAAATCGATGGAGATTTGGTAACCTGATTGAGTAAATTATCTCGGAGGAACATCCCTAGAGGAACATCAAAATTCTTATAGAACACAATGTGAGAAAAGTGGCTCTGCTCACAAATAGTTCCTCTTAAACCATTTCGACTAGACATGAGAACCAAAATACTCAGTGACTCTGGCACCATATTGATGTCATCCTTGCTCTGCACTTTGTCATTGTTACAAAGATTGTCTATGTCCCTTACTGGGTCTTCATAGGAAGCTGACAGAGAAGCTTCTCCATCTTCAACACATTTGTTTTCAGCAGAACTTCCATTAGCCTCTACATCACAATCTAACACCTCAGAATTTTCCAATACTGGAACTGTTTCTGCAATCTGACCATTGAAATTGCTTCCATTTAAGCCAAAATATGAATATAATGAATTGTAAGGAGCAGCTGAAGCCAGAGAGAAATTCTTCCTCATAACCTTTTTAAGAGCAGCTGAAGAAGTGGATAGCCCAGAAAGGATAGCATGATTATATGGCTCAAAAGAAATTGCTGGGCTGTAATCTAATCCCCTGTTCCCAATTTTATCACCTTCCATATCTGAATTTGGGTCGGAATCACCTTCATGGTACCCATTGGAAATGGAAATATCAGTGGTATACAACTCAGTCATAGTTGCAGTATGGTCATCAACAGAACTACTTAATCTAGCAGTTTCTAAGGAATGAGATTGTTGAAACACAGGCATACCATCTGCCACCTGCGTGAAAGGAATGGTAGAGAACATTGCTCTCTGATCTAAAAGAAAAGAAGTTTCAAGGATTAAATGATATGCCATTATAACTGCATATTGCACCACAGACTTAACCCTCTTTAGTTCATCAGAATGACTTCCTTTCAGCAAAATCTGCAGCAAGACATTATGAAGTCAACATGAAGTGAGAAAAGGGGAAGAGGGGAGGAAAAAGTTCATGACAATACAGAGATGGTGTCAGGTTTTTCCACTAAAGTTAAGATATCTGATATCCTATCTGATATCAAACAAGATTAGTTGTTTCAGAATTATATAATAGCTAATGGCAAGGATGTTGTTTTTTATTTAAACTTTAAAAGAGGCTAAAAATTGTATATATGAAGTTTTAAGTTCATTATGTACATGCATTTCAGACTTTTAAACACCTCCATCTCAAAACAGCCAATTAAGTGTGAAGTTTTGAGTCACCATACCCCCATCATTACTATTTACCACTCACTAGCACTGGTAACTGAATTGCTAGTCAATGCAAGAACATACCCACTGGTTCCAAAAAGAACATTAAGGACAAAAAGGAAGAAGAAGAAGATATGAAACACATCATAAGTTGAAGACTCACAGTGCAGCCCAAATGCGTCGACAAGCCCTCCAAGAACATCAATGTTTTACTTAGGCACTTTCCCCCTTCACCAAGAGCAGCATGTTCCTCCACAAACTTTTCAATATGAAAGGAGTGACATTGCTTAAACAAGTCAGTCGATTGTAACTTCTGATTCATCAAAATCTCAGAAGATATGATTGGTGAACCAGTACAGCGAGCAACTCTCTCCAGACGATGAAGCTTCATATCAAAGACCAATGTGATTCCTTTGGCTAGAAAAGACTCTTGGACATCACGTGAAACAGTTTTCTCCACCAAGACCACATCTGGATGCAACATGTCTATCATCTCAATAAGAGTCTTCAGATGACCCTTTTCCTGTTTGATAGGTAAATGATCAGAAATAACAGTACCACAATTCCATGTTACAGAGATTGAAAACATTTCAGTAATGTTACCTGATGCATAGAATCAAACGATGACAAACCATTAGAAGACTGACCCAACACTCCTTGGATTAGTAACAACCTGGGGTTCTTGTACTGAGTTGACATGTGCTTGTGAGCTGCACGCTTTTTGAAGACCAACCCTTTAATTAATTGACTGCAGAACAAATATCAATTTTTTAGCTAAATAGAAAATGCCAATGGAAACAACACTGAAAATTTGCTGCGTGACAAGGAAGTTTCTTGCATGATATACTCAAAAGGGAAAATGCAGCATCAATTTGCAGTGAATTTTATTTGGCACATGCCCTCAGGCATTCCATGGAGCACATGTAATCTGAGGATGACATGCTCAGATAACATGTAACTACCACCTTTTAATCTAATAATAAACAGGAAGAAATCCTCTGTCTCTTCATTTCAAAACTAAACTAACAGTGAAAAGAACAATTTAATATAATAGTAACTTAAAATTCTAGTATGCCTATTTCATATCACCTTTGGCTGCGAGAACCAGTTGCAATGCATTTCACTTTGACATAGCCAACTGGACCAAATGTCCTGCCATCATTGGAATTAGGCCTCAGAAACGAAGCAGCTTGCCATGATAAGGAAGTAATAATATCCACCCAACTTTCATCATCCTTCACAGAAATGGCAACACCCACAGATTTTAGAAGCTGATTCACAGTATCTTTGAATTTCCCATTTGTTATTTCTTCTATTGCTCTTTGTTTGTCCTCTTTAAACTTGTATCTCTCACTGCCCTCATCCTTGTTATGACTCAAAGAGTTTGGCCTGCCCCACTCCCTCTCATCCTCTTCATCATCATCATAAGCCACAGTATGCTCAAAGTCATCCACTGGATCTTCAGGTTCTGGTGGTTCCCAAATATGACCATCCATTTCACAATCATTAGATACAGAAATCTCAGTCTCTTCATCAGAGGACCTACTCGTGTCTTCAACATCTTTTGCTTCTTGATCATTACTAGATTGAACTATCTCAACATCATCATTCCTCATTTTACCATCCTTCAAGCTGTTTTCTGCCACTCTATTTTGTCTACCAACTCCATCCATTGAATCTTCTAAGCTCAGCCTCTGCAACCAACCATTAGGCCTGTAATTTAGATTCTCATTATTACCATCCGTTCTACTTTCCTCTTGATCACTTTTGATATAATTCAATGAATCAGAGGACTTTAGTTAATATGAGATGGAAGAAATAGCTAAATTATCAGAATTACCAAAAAGGGGTACCAAACACCCACCTATCAGAGGAGTTTATATCAACAGCAAAATCACCTAAGAAGTATTGGAAAAACAGGGATTAGACTAAAATGACATGGAACCAAAGTAGTAGAAGAGTCTTTAATATAGAAAGATCTGAGATATTTACTACAGCCTGAGTATGAACAATCACTGCTTGACAAGGACGTAGTTGGACTCATCATTGGTTTACAATATGGACTTGTACCATCCTGTTTTACTGGTTGCCCTGCAAGCTTCTCCAAACAAACTTTACAGGACAAAAGGGAGCCTCCATTACTTAAATTTGCATAATTTTCATTTGCCTGTTTTGCCTCGTCCATTTTAGACTTGGCAGGATCAGCACCACAATGATGACACATACTACACATCTGATCAACTCCAGTATCCTACTCAATTAAGCAGTGAACAGGAATATAAGCATAATCTGTAGAGCGGTAACAAGAATTGTAGGGAATACAAGTTTCCAATTTACTTGAAAAATCAAAAGGATGATCCGAGTGTGGTGCATCATAGTGTGAAACCAAAATATTAGATTTTTATCTGAAACCAAAACATTTGTTCATTAAATTTTCCAATCATTTTAAACCTAAAAGATTCAAATACGATTCAAGAATATTCAAGATGCATATCAGAAGCATCTGCTGTACAAAGAAAAATACCATTCCAAGGAGTGAAGACAAAGAAGAAGAAGAAACCGATCTTTAATTGGATCAAACCGAGTACATAGCAAAAGGATCCATTCCCAGAAACTACAACCATGTTCAAAATCAGACTCAAATGCCTACAACACTGATTTACTTTTACTAATTAAAATGATTAAATTTATCAAACATTAACAACTAAAACTCTGCATCTAAGAATCATCATTTAGAAAAAAAAAAAAAAAAAAAAAAAAAAAAAAAAA